CATCCTAATGAAAACAATTTCTTTTTTAAAACTTCCAGTAATAATATCAATTAGTCTAGTCTTGTTATTCAAATGGATATCATTAAAGTGAAATACCTGAAACTGTAGACTATCCTCGAAGGATAAATAACTGTCGATTCTAACTACTAATTCCGGAGGTAAACAATCATACAAAGCATAATCCATTGATGTTTCAGGTTCTAAATTCAATTCAACATTGAAATCCATCAATTCTGCAAAATTTTATTAAATCTTTTAAGTCAATAAACTATTTTTTTTCTCGACGAGCATTCAATACAGAGTATAATATAAATACCAAAGAAAAATGAATTTGAGGAGAGAATGGGATGAAAAAGGGTGCGGATATTTGCTCCCTCCCAACAACTCATTCAACATTTGCGCCAATAACTTTCTGCCCTTTTTGATCATTGACACTGTCATTCGTCATCAAATTAAGAAAAATTTTTTTTTATAATAATACTACAATTTGTTTTCTGTCATCAGTTTATATCATAAACTATTTTTATGCATGACAGTAAAGTTATTACTTTGAATATTAATTAGAATCGCATTCTAATCAGTGTAAGATATTTGTCGACTAATTTGATGTAATCCTTAATTTGGACTTTTAGGCTAAAAAACATAAATTTTTTAGCCTAAAAGTCCAATATATTATATATTTATATTTTTTACTAAAGAATTATATTCAAATATAATATATTTAGCTTGCTTAGTGCAATGATATTTTCAAAATATAGTATGCATGTGCATTTCAAAACTTAACTACCGTATGCTAAGCCCAACTCTTTGAAAAAAATGCAAGTGTAAGCTTTTTTTAAATCAATAAATCTTGTTAGAATTCTTTTTCTTGGCCATAAAAAATTCCTGTTATGCTTTTAAAGTTATGCTGTCGCTTCTTTAGTATTTTCATAGAAATTAACCCTTTTTTGAATTTTATTAATACTTCCATAAATAAAGCAGTAAAAAGTAATGAATACAACAAACTAATGAATCGCATCATTTGACAAAGGGAAAATTTGAATAAGAGTAAATTATGGCTGTTATATGATTGATACAGTACTCTAAGTCCCTTTTCGGAGGTTTGTGCTCGACTGGACAGGTAGTCGTAGACGTAATTATTGAATTTCATATGGTTCAGTGAATGAATAAAATGTGGCTGCATTCACTCACGTCAATTATATATTAATGGAAACTAAATAAACTGACGAATAAATGCATAAACATACACACACATACACACATACACACACACACATGCACACACACACACATACACACACACATACACATACACACACACACACACACATACACATATATATACACACATACACCGACAAATAACTATGGATATTAAAAGATGTAGAAAATCTTGAAAAAACAAAACTTTGATGATGAATTGTAAGAAAAAAAAGTTGACGTAAGAAGTATGTACGTGTACCTTACGGTATCCACGCAAAATTATAACGATAGAAATGGTAAGCTAAATGAAGAAAATTAGCAAAGATTTGCTCTGCTTTATGAAAGAAGTATAAATTAAAAGAGATAACAAGTCAAGAAAGAGAAAGAGACATGAAAGTTAGTGAAGAAGAAACTATGTATGATATTATATACTTGTCACCTTGGCTAACCATAACTTTTCATATATTAATATTGATGGATTTGTTGAAAAGACTTACTAATTACTCTATCAGACTTCCACACGACAGCCATTTGTGACATCTCTTTCAATTAGCATTCTAAACAGTTTAATTTTTAGTAAACATTTCGTGAAACAAACATTACTGATAGAAATGAATTAATCTGAAATATCTTCCTTTTCATTTCACTTTAAATCAAATCTACTGTACAAATCTTCGTTATTTTCATATGGTAATTTAGAATAAAAACAAATTCTAGACAATTTTATTAAAAATTTATAAGATTAAACCAAAGTCTATGTATTAATTAATTAAAATCCCTCAAAACAAGTTTGATCAAGCTGAATATAAATGATAAAAGTATTATTGTTTCAAAGAATCAATAGCAGATAGGTATATATATTACATGGAGCGCGCAAAAAGCACTTCTGTAATGAAGCGCATCAGAAAATAAAGCTTTAAACACAAATTTGATTGGCATTATGCTAGGCATTGATTAACAGTTGAGCGACAACAGTTCAACAAGTTAATGACACCTGACGGCTACGAGTTTCAATTTACTGCTCAACTTTATTCTCTCTGCTTCTTAACTACGGTACCTCTCAGATTACAATTCTTTTCTTTCCTTTATTTATGAACCGATGAAATCAAGGTTCCTATTCGGATAGAATGTAAATAAATAAATAATTAATTTGGGAATAAAGTACAATTATTTAAATCATATTATTATTGAATCATCATTATAAAATTGCAAAATAATGTTACAAATTTCTATTGCTTAATGATTGGAGAAAATTCAATTATCGCTTATGTCGAAAGCAATAAAAATCTTAAAGAGTAATGTATGTGGAATTTAAATTATTGGAAAAATTTGCATACATTTAACAAAATTATACATTTCCTTTAAATAAAGCAAGAAAGAGTTTAAATTCTTTTTGAAAAGTACCAAAATAATGATTTCATACTTCTTTAATTATTTCCCTGCTGGAACTATTATGAGAGGATTAAAGTGAAGAGAGGAAAGGATTACTCATTCGAAATCCTAGACAGTAAATCCTTTTGAGAATGTTCAACTGATTGAAATAATAATGAATGCAGTTGACACTCAAACAGATCATCTAGTATTATTGTCCCTGGCATGGATATATTATCCGATAGCATTATTTTAATTCATTTAGTTTATGTTAAATGATAATTTATAATAAAAATATAAATTCGTTGTTTATTCTTATTCCTATAATAAAAAAAGAATTATAACACTGAAATGTTTATTAAAACAACTGTAATAATGTAATGTCACCTAAGTTTATACTAATATTAAGATTAGAAATTGAAACAATTTAAATGTAACTTTATGATTGATCTATGGTCATTTATGCAAAAGAATACAAAAGAGTTTGAAAGATGAAAGATTTGATTTTACTTTTTGTGTGCTACAACTCGACAGCATCTTTTATCGTTACTTAGCAACAGCAACCGTTGAACATTCATTGGATAACAACTGAGAGGGATGAGTTTAGACACTGAAAGGGAAATGAGTGGTAAGGTCGAGATTAAGGTTACTCGACTAGTTCTTCTGCCACAATTAGTGTCAGAGTAATGACCTCATCAGGTTTAAGGTCACTTTTAAAATTGAGAGTGGTCAGTGAAACGTAAGGGTAAAGCAAACAACTAAATCTGTGATTTTTTTTATTTGTGTATGTATGTGTGTGATTAGCTTTTTTCTCATATAGAATCTAATGCTATATCTTCAAAATCTCGCCAGAAATTTAATTTTAAATAACTTTGAACTCACTTCAATGATAATTTTACTTACCAACTTACCGTATCTGTAAGGAATGTAATATTTTTACTTCTAATATTAACAAATTTTAAACCTTTCACAATTACTTGATTTCTTTGAATTTGTTTAGATTCCTTCAATGTTTCTATTCTACTGTAAAAAAGTTCAACTACGGTTCTCCTTAATCACTTTTACCTTTACCATTTTACTACTTACTAAGCAGAATATACCCTTCATTGAGACCCAATACCTTGCATAATGTTTAATTTCTTGGCTTTGTAACAATCTGTCAGTTGAATCTTACGATAACAAATCATATGATACATTGTGTACTGTATAATATCTGAGCCTTAAAATTGGCCATAAATTATCATTGAAGACAAAAGCATGTATTTTAGGTCGAAAGGCTAAAAAATTAATCAATAAATCATTTCTGGACACTACTCAAGGTTCTGAAAAAAAGACTCGTATTTTTTTTTTTTGCTCGATAATGAAACTGTTTTTTAAAAATAACTGAGATAATATACTTACTTCTAATAGACAGCTATTGTCCTCTTCTCTTCCCTTAGACCATTCCCACGTTCCAAGACAACATGAATGACCTATGTCATCGTGTCATTATTGATTTATGAAGATGATCCATCAAATAGGAATGATTCATTCCTTTGAAACATACAGAAGTGGATGTGATAGGATGGGATGTATAATGGTGAGTGACAAGGACGCCTGGAAGTGGCGGTAATTGCCGTGCAATCCATTAGGAATACGGAATACACAGGACAGCATATAAAAAAGGTATGATAGACTGCGGAACGGACAAAGAGAACAGGAATTCAGGAGGAATTATAATAGAATCGAGGAATCGGTAACGGAGGCATAAAACGTAGTGGAGTGACAATGTGTCACTTTAAAATATGTTGTTAATGTAATGTATTTTTCAACTAATGATCAATACTCAAATTCCAAGTAACCTTTTGAATTTCCAAAATTAAAGATTATAATAAATTTTATCAACAAGTGATAAGTGATAAGGAATACAGGATAGATCATTTCATAAAGGAATTATTTGGAAATTTAAAAATCAATAAAAATTGATGAAGATGAAGGAATTTAAAAATATTCTTGAATACGATTTTTTTGTTGATGGCTTAACTAAATGTTTTGGTATTTCATCCTAAATTACTATTAATAAGCCATAATAATAGTTTGCAAAATTTTGAAATGAAGTATTTAAACGTTTTCGTTTATACGGCATGAAGTAATCGTCGAGAAAAAAAGAAGCGAGATGATAATTTATGGCCTGTTGGCAATCAATGTGAATTAGTGGCGCCATGAATAATCTTTACCATTTAACCGCTTTGACCTTCACCGTGTATTGTAAGCGATGGATGATTATTGCCATCCATCTGATAGTGGGCGCAAAAAAACACAGCGCTTCTTATACATTTCAGTTTGTTTTTCCACTGCTTAGAGAATCTCGACATACTTTGAAAATTTTAATTAATGTAATTCGAAGGAAGCTATAACTGCTAAGACTGAGAAACAGAAACGAACCTATGATATGGTAAGTAAACTATATGAGACTATCATAAAGACTATTGAGTCGTAAAATTTCTATTGAAGATAAATTGAGATCTCGAAAAATAAGAAGAATGACAAAGATGAGAACTAAAGATTGATATCAGTTAAACTTTCACTTCGATATATTAAAATCTGATAGTAAATACAAGAATAATTAAGCCAAGACATCTCTTCTTGGCTTATCTGCTCTAATTTTCAGTTTCAACTCGGCTGCCAAAACTATTCGTCTTCCTTTTGGAAAACCATTCGACAATAACTGCAATCGACAAGTACCTTTTTTACTGAATTCTAATTCTCCATGCCTTTTCAGATTGATATATCTAATTCTATTGGTCGAAAATAATAATAAATTTACAGTGGCTATTAAATATCTGTATGAAAGAATATTAACTATTCCGAAGTGATGATATGCCTGTAAATGATAAGAGTTTGAGATCAGGTAAACCGAATTGTTATGGTTGGATTATTGTCACAGGTGAATAAAGGTCATCAAAAAAAAAAAAAAAAAAACACTATGCATTCTTTCACATTTGCTAACAATGAAGTGAGTTCATTTTTTTTATGAAGCCTATTTATTTGAAAAATTTGTGAGAGAAAGAAAGAGAAAAAAAGCGTAGTTGACAGGAAGAAGCGACGCGATAAATAACTGTCAAGGGACAACCAAATATAATATCAAAGTCTCTCCTTCCGTCTTTTGCAGTCCCATCATAAATCTCTCTTTTCAGACCACCGTATTCTCTCAGCTCCAAGTAATTCTTTCCTGATTTCTCCAAAAATGAAATTAATAGGTACGGTGGTCTGATCTTTCTTCATTTACAAAACTTTCATTCGAACAAGTGCTCCACTTTTTTTTTTTTTTTTATTTAGAAATGAAAACCGGATAAATCTCCTTCAGTTTGATCAAATGATTGATTCATACAAATTAACAACTAAATTATTTTCAAATATTTCGAAAATAGAAATGCAACATTTCATCGATTTAATCATATCAAAAAAAAAACAGGTCGGTGAATTAAATTTAACGATTTTTTGGCATGAATTGAATCAAAAAAACAACAGCAATAATAATAATAATAGTAATTGAATTGAGGAAGAAGCAAAAAAAAAAGGATACGATAGCAAGATATCATGATATCAGTAATATTTTACACCTTCTATCAGATAACTACTCTTCATATTATTATCGCTACTATTCATACTTTCTGCAATAATTATACTCCCATCACTTATCACTAATGAAAGCTCGCGGCTTAGTTCAAAAACAGTGATTAGCAGCAAATTTGTCGATTGACAGCTGCATTGGAACGGGCGGAACTGACACGACATAAAAGAACTTACGCATATATAGGAAGAGAGAGAGTGATTTAACGGTGGTCCAATTGCGCCATCAAATGAAACCTTTACTAAGAGCACATAATAAGCTGCTCAAATAGTTTTGTTACTTATCCCTGTAATGGTACATATTGTCGGTGTACTTCAAAGAGCATCAACATGACTTTATCCTGTATTCTCGTTCCCATTAGTGATGACAATCTCTAATCAAAAAATTAACTACGCAAAAATCCCAATATCCATCTGCTTGTCGAATATTCGACGTTCAACAGATTAAGAAGAAGAATCCGTGAGCTGTAATTAACATGCCTTCTAGGATGTAAGATTAAGTGCAATTTAACTGAAGCATATCATTTCTGTTCTGTTTTATCTTTGTATTTATGCCAATTTACTAAATTGTTTTCAGCATAGCTTTGTCAGCATCGAGTGAAATATTTAGACGTACAAAGATTTAATTTCAAATAAATTCAGTGAATTGACAAAAATTAAAACAGCACATTATCACAAAAATGACAAATTAACGCTTAATTTAAAAATTGAAAGAAACTAAATGATAGCTAGATTTAGTCAATAATTAATTCTAGCTAAAATATATGATTGTGAAGGATTATTTTCAGGTTATCAATATTTCAGGTTAAGGCAAAATTCGAAAATGCTTCAGTTAAATATGGATTTTTTTATTTTGGAACGAATTTTTATATGCGAATTATGGTTCAAGCAATAAACAGCGAATCGAACCATTGAATCAAATCAAAAAACTCATTTTTCAATTCATTTTTCGGACACTTGAGATATGAGACCAGTTTATTGATAAATAAAAACATGATTGAATGGAAGATGATACCTGATGTGACATCTTGTCCTTCGATATCCATGCAAATTGCATGGAATATGTCATCTATCATCATTTCAACTAAATGTTCTATCACATAACTTCATATCTTTATCATTGCACTTATCAGTATTGATGTTAGTATACAAATAGTATTCTTATAAAAAAAGAAAAGAGAAAGGAAGTATTCTCACCATGGAAACATGCATTAAGTAAAATTATGAAAACACTTCAAAGCTTTGACAATTTTTGTAATTTTGTAAACTTTGGAGTAAAATTTCAAATGTGTTTTGGTAAAAAAATCAGTAAAATTTAAAAGTTCTTTTTAAAAGTTAATTTTACTTTGAATTAATTCCTGATAGAAAACGTTGACGGAAATAATATATCAACGATGGATTAGAATTCTGTAAACCACTTGTAGAAGACAGAAATAATGTTAAATTCTCTTATATCATTAAAAATGCGATTATATTTTTGTTCAATGAATGAAAATTATGCTAATGAATATTCTGCCTTATAATTGATTAAAAGTAAAGAAATTAAAATTAATTAATTATAATTAAATTAGTCTGAAATTTTTCTGTTATTAAAAATGAAACAAAAATATGTTATAAAGCAAAGAAAAAAGAGCTCTGTTAATGAAAATGTTGCTTTTATTATGTTAGATTTAATTTCGACAAGTAAAGAGTAAAGCCATTATTTTTCTAGAATTAAAAATTTTTTAAATTAGAGATTTTTTTTTGGAGGGTGAAATAAATATGATCAAAATACTGAATGAAATTCTGACAAGAAATGGAATACGAAACACAAAAAGCTAGAGCATTTGAAATTTTTTAAAGTAATCGGATTCTTCATTTGAAATTACTTTTGAAAAATTTGGTATTTGAAAAAATTTTCCTTTCATTTAACTTTTAAAGCTAATTTTAAAAACAATTTTGATAGAAAATAAGTGTATTCTCAGAGTACGTTTTTTTTTTTTGTAGTTACTTTCGTTGATGTTTGCACTGATATTAACCTGTTTAATAGGTTGCTTGAATTTCATGCCAAAAAAAATATATATGAAGATGATAACATCATGTTTTTGTTACAGATATTTCTATTCTAATTTTCATTAAGTTAGGAAATTTAGTTGCAAAAAATTTTCGGAATTTTTAATTACTAATGTAACAATAAGCTGAATGATTTAATCATTGAAATTATATGAAAAAATTATTTGTGCTAATTTATTCATATACGAAATAATGAAAATGTATTAAGCACGAATAATAATAATAATAATTATTATTATACTAATAAATCGAAGTTAAATAAGTTGTAAGGGAAACTAATGATGCAATAGTTAAGAAATTGATAGTGATTTTCTGGTTCTTTGCGAGGAATTATATCATCGGTGATCTGTTGTGGCGCAATGTCGTCTGCAGCAGAAAATTTAGTGCTGGCAAAAATGCCGATTACACTCCATTTATCATGTCACTATGATACACTAAAATATGCTGTTTAGAGATATTTCGAAGAATAAAATTTATTACCATTTCAAGCAAAGAGTATTGTCTTAATTAATAAGAAACTAATAAAGTATTTTCATTTAAATAGAAAATTAAGTTATAATACATTATTATTTTTATTAATGATATATCATTTTTAAAAAAGACAAATAAACTATTCAGATTATTCAGTTCAGTGTTTTCAAGTACAATTAGAAAAGCGAGTGAAGGAATAATTTTTATCAACTTCACTGTGATTGTTTGTTATCATTATAAATCTATCTTAATGACTGCTACTAGCATCATCACAGCATCGTCACCACTGTGTCATCACATTCCAAGGAGAGGACTGATGTCATCAATCGTTTCGTCATTCACAAAAGCAGATACAATAGTCCAATTCTGGTTCTGATCGTCAAATTGTATAGCTTTTTTTGGCATCGAATACTATCCACTTTTTTCATTTCATATCACTGACTGTCACTTAAAACTGTCACATTAAATTGATCAACAATTTAATTAATAACTAATAAATTGGTGCTCATTTCAATTCATAAAAATATTCCGGCTTCTAACAACTGATTAAAGCTAATAGTTTAAATTGATTAAACTGATTAACAACTGATTAAAATAATTTAAAATTGATAAAAAAAATAATTTCAATGAAATTTGATATCCGAAACAAAATAAATCAAAAAAATTTTTCTGATTTGATTTTAGAATTGGCTTGAAAGAAATATAAATTTAAAATTAAACAGGAATAAGTGAATTGAAGATGAAATTAAATTATATATGTCTAAAATATTTCTTCTTTGAGTAGGATAGAAAAAGAGATGAAGAGAGAGAAAGAAAGGAGAGTAGAGAGAGACAGAGGAAAAATGAATTGCATATATTCAAAATTAAATTTAATACTTACTTACTGATATACCAAATTCTTTTTTTAAATTTATTGAAAACTTGGATATGATGGTTCAGAGAGAAGAAACACAAAATTGATTCATGAAGTGATTACAATTCGTCGAATTTTCGTTTTAATTGAAGTTTCTCTTTTTTTTTTTACAAATTATTTCATTCATTTTCTTTCAACTTCCATCAAGGAGTTTTTTTTCTTTTAAATTTCACAGTCAACTACTGAATCGAATCGATTGCTCAAATTGCTACTTACAATTTTTGATCTCTGATCATCAAATTATTCTATTAGGGACATATGTTTAGATGTGTGACATCTAATTTAATGTTAGCTTGTTCTTTTTATTTGTTTTGTCTTTGTTTAATTCTCAAATAACTGTGTAAATTTGATTCCTTTCGAGAACGTGAAACTTTGCACGTTAAATGCTCTTTGAACATTGTTTGCAGTCTAAAATATTCTCTCGTTCAGTAGCTTGGCTTTAATAATTACTTAATAACAAAATTAGCCAATTGTTTCATTTGATGTAAAAATAACATTCACGTATGTTTAGTTTTTTCAGTACACGCAAGGAACTCACGTGTCTACATTCACGTAAACTCCCAAATTCCTCTCAAAAACATTCACAAATTTATATTTTATTGTTTATTAAAACTTAAAAATTATTTGCTGTAGGATGAAATTTTAAAATGTGTTGCAAGTTTTTTCGTACACTTTTTTATTCTCGAAATGATCTCTGATTTACACACGTGAATGTATTTGCTTCCGGAAAACGTGAGGCTATAGCGACTGTGCACGTGTTACTCATTGTTCACAATGATTATTTTATCATTTCGAAATTATGCCTTAGTTATAATATTGAATAGCTGAATGTCTTTTTCTGTGGCTTCCACTTGAGATTTCATTAGAGGTAAACAGAAATAGCTGACGTTGATATCATAAAAGCAGATCGTGTTGTCGTATATTTTACATCATATTATGCTACATCAGCGTATGGAATTTTAGGAATTTATTCCGTTTTTCAAATTGCCAACATGCAATTAGATTTTCCATGGGATGGAAGAGATGTATTGAGGAAAAAGTTAGGAGAAATCACGGGAAAGCAGCGAGATCTTCCGGTGTGTGTATTTCAATAAAATGATATACAGAGTTGATAATTAGCGAAATGCCATTGTTTAAAAAATGGAAATGTTTGAGTCAGTAAAATGAATGAATGATATCAAATAAAATTTAAAAAATGTCGCTAAATTTCTGAATTCATAAAAGATTAAGCATTCAGTGGTGAAATTACCTGCAATTGTTGCTTAATATAGAGTGAAATTAAGTTTTTCTCATTATTTCAATAACTTGAGGAATAATTAATAGATTACCTACAGGTGAGCAATCAATCTTTTTACCTTTTCTTGCATAATGCAAACACATACGTATTTCTATATTTATCATAAAAAATTTCTCGCTTACTGCTTTGCCACTTTATAGTTTTAATTCTGATTTATTAAAATTTAACAGTATACTGATGTGTGTATCAGATTAGTAATACCATCTATTAACTTACCTGTATTATCGTATACAGATTGTCTTACACGTACGAATATAATAAATGTAAAAGAAAAATGGCCATTTATTCTATACTCTTTGATTTATTAAAAATGTTAGCATTAACAATACTCCTAATTTCTCAACAAAGTATGCTGTAAGATTAATTAATATTTGTTGATATAATATTTAATTTCAGCTAATCATCAGTGGAAAACAGGAAGTTTTTATTTCTCCACTTGAAATTTTAATAAAACTTGAGAAAAGTCTTATTAAAAGTTATCTATTATAAAGATTCTTACTTTTCACTTGTGCTTCTCTTCCTTTCATCTTTTCTTTCATATCATAGGTAGAAAGGAATCAAAAAAGATCTGACGATTGCTAGTTCACAACATCGAATTTCAAATTACTCTATTAGTCTACTAGTTTACTAGTTAGTTTTGCATCCAACTCTATGCAGAAAACAATAATTAATGTTATGGTAATCATTTAAAAAGGATAATGGCAAAATAAAATTTATAAAAGAACAAAACGAAAAATAAAATTGAATAATTAAGTGAGCAATTAATTATATGCATGGGTAATTAACAGAAATAAAAATATTTGCAATTTAAAATTAATTTTCAAAATTTGCACTGCTGTATGTACTGTCCATGTTGAATATTTAAAGAAAGAAGCTAGTATTGTCAAAATTTCCTAATAATTAAACACTGCAATTTCCATTCATATATTTAAAAGCAATTACCACCTGTTTAATCCTTTCGATGTCTAATAATAAATAGATAAGCAAAACGTGAACGGTGCGATCTTTTGACTGAGCTTAAAATTGTTTTATTAAAATTTAACAACACTATTGTTTAAAACTAAAAATTTTAAATTTTAAGAATAGAAAATTATTTCAGGCAATTTCCACTTGTTCGTTGCAGATTACATTTATCGCAGCGATTTTTTGCATAAAGATATCTAAAATTTAACAAGGAATAAA